TCTCTCTCTGTCTCTCTGTCTCTCTCTCTCTCTCTCTCTCTCTCTCTCTCTCTCTCTCTCTCTCTGTCTCTCTCTCTCTCTCTCTCTCTGTCTCTCTCTCTCTCCTGTCTCTCTCTCTCTCTCTGTCTCTCTGTCCTCTGTCTCTCTCTCTCTCTCTCTCTCTCTCTCTCTCTCTCTCTCTGTCTCTCTGTCTCTCTCTGTCTCTCTCCTCTCTCTCTGTCTCTCTCTGTCTCTCTCTGTCTCTCTCTCTCTCTCTCTCTCTCTCTCTCTCTCTTCTCTCTCTCTCTCTCTCTCTCTGTCTCTCTCTCTCTCCTCTCTCTCTCTCTCTCTCTCTCTCTCTGTCTCTCTGTCTCTCTGTCTCTCTCTCCCTCTCTCTCTCTCTCTCTCTCTCTCTCTCTCTCTGTCTCTCTGTCTCTCTGTCTCTCTCTCTCTCTCTCTCTCTCTCTCTCTCTCTCTCTCTCTCTCTCTCTCTCTCTCTCTCTGTCTCTCTCTCTCTCTCTCTCTCTCTCTCTCTCTGTCTCTCTCTCTCTCTCATACAATGCCATAGATTGTCAAGACATTTGAATAGGGTCTTCCTACCACCACATGCCATCTACAGAGCAACAACAGCTGTTTTTGCACAGCCCTACTCCTTGGAGCCTTGACGACTTCTCTCATTACTTCGTTTTTGATATTTTTCTTACAATAGTGCTAATAATACTAATATACATTTATGATCACACGATTAGCTATATAGGTATACAGTTAAATTATATATATAACTTATTTAGTAACAAATCAAATGGTGGTTCTCAGTTCTGTGTGATAATGGATTACTTGTATTTCCACCATTTCCATCAGAGTACCAAATGTGGTCAACAGGTGGTAGCAATTGTCCACAAATTACATTACTTGACGCGCTCCCTCAGACAAAGATAAATAATTACACACCTTGTTTTTTCCTCCACGAGTATATTCCTTTTTGCACCTTAAGTGTCACGATGAGATGACCAAATTTCATAGCATTTTCCATCTAAAAGTTGAATATCTGTAAATATTTAGACAAGAATACAAAACTTTCTGCTTAAAAAATGTTTGTGTAACACTGCTTCTTTTGTCTGGACCATAATTCTAAGGCGTGAAAGATCCTGTATGCATGGAGGTTTCCATCTCATTCCCAGCACACTGAGACTGGGATACCAGAAATAACCTCTCAAATTATTTGACTATGATTAAATACAAGTAAAGTGAAAGAAAATAGGCCAAACACACTTACTCTAGAATTATTAAACAATTGAAAACATAAAACATACATTTATTTTAAAATAATACAAGATTTAATCCTTCATTGGTATGAGTAGAACAAGAAAATCCCTGTTTAGTGCACCAGCAGGAGGCCAGTCCCTGTGCTTTTTAGTGTCCCAGCATGAGGCCAGTCCCTGTGCTTCTCAGTGTCCCAGCACGAGGCCAGTCCCTGTGCTCAGAGTTCAGTTGGTTCATATGGCACTGATATGTCACGTTCTACTTTGGTGCATGAGTGTGGATGGCTCAATGGACCCATTGAGTTGTCCATTAATGTTACCTGTCCATAAATAAGTCCTGGATCATCACCACTGTCCTTAGACCCTCCTGCATCAGCAAATAACAACTAAATCAGAATCAGAATCATTTTTATTGCCACGTAAGGAACAGGAAGTCACAGACTTGGAAATTGCTTTGGCTCAGTGCAACAGTCAGAGAGAGATAATAAAAAATAAAGAATAAAAAACACTTCTAAGGAATACATTTAAATTTAAAATAGAGTTACAGTTACAGTTAAATTAACCCAGTGGGAAGAGTGAGAAACCTCAGTTGGCGCTATACCAAAATACTTTCATACCAAATGAATGTAGATTAGACATGATTTGGTTGTTTAAACCAACAAATCAGAAGGACACACAACTCCCTGCTAGAGTTGTTTTTTGGTTAAAACAACCAAAAGAAGGGTGAAATATATTATTATTATTATTATTGTGCATTCTCTGACCCCACACCTCAGAAAGCGTCATACTCTTTCCTCCACCTACCTTCTGCAGAGAGTTTTCAGATGCCCTCTACATTATTGGAGCAGTTGAGCAAGTCTTTGATTGATTGATTGATTGGCTTTATTTTGGTCATCAGATCAACAATGTTACAGTTCAAACATATGATATAAGGAATAGGCAGAAGCAATGCAACCAAGTCTTGCAATTACATGTTTGAACAGTAGATTATAATTTTGTCTATGCTGGATATTAGATACAAGTCTAATGGCCTTTATGTAGTGCGATTAAAAGGCTGCGAGATTTGTAACAGTTTCCGCACACTTTAAAAGGCTGCAAGAGAGTTTTGTACCAGTTTCCCCACACTTCAACTCAATAACAGCAAAATAGGTTTATAGAAAGGTCCCAACACCTGACGAGGAGAATAGAGGATGTACTGCATGTCCTCATGGATAGACATAAAGCATAACTTAATTGGAATGACTGATATAAAGAACCCAACGATATCTGTTCAACAGAATACTAAAATTTATATTGCTTATATTGTTATTATATGACTGAAATATACCACAGAGGTTGCATCTGAGTAGATCAGAGCAATAATAAAATCTAATTATTATTAGGCTCTGCAGCCTACACCTGAACTTTTGTCAGGTGTAGGCTGCAGAGGCCCTTCACATTCCGACACTTTAAATATGTATTTTTTTATTCATGTTTTTATTAGGAAGGGACGGTGTGTAATAAATACACTAGATTATAGGTAATTTCTATCTGTAGTTACACTCACAAACACACACTCATTCCACCCTCAGCACTTGCACATGTTTTTAGTTGTAGGGGAAACCGGAGTACCTGGTAGAAACCTACCCAAACACAGGAAGAACATGCAAACTCCACACAGAAGGGACCTTTCTGGAGGTGAAGTCAAACCCAGGACCTTCGTACTGTGAAGCTCAAGTGCTATCCACTGTGCCGCCAGAAACTGGCTCTTAGAACTGGTGAACTAACCGGACATTGTGGTGATGAATAAACAGCCACACAAAAGCAATAACGATAACATATTGTTCCTGTCATGATTTAGTTGGGGTTTAACTAGTCTGGTTATTATCACTCTATTCTATTCTTTTGTTGCTGATCAGGCCTTTTAATGAAACTATGACTGAAACCCCCTTTTAAATGGTATTTTTTCACTGGCACAGTTTCAACACCCATTCATCCGTTTTCTTCCACTTTATCCGTTTCCAGGTTGTGTGGGCAGCAGTCTGAGCAGAGACGTTGTGCAAGAATAATGCTTCATATGTTGTTATTGTGACAGATCTGGGAATTGCCTCAGAATTATAAGATAAGATAAGATAAGAATTCCTTTATTCGTCCCACAGTGGGGAAATTTCGATGTTGCATCGCACATATAGGACTACGCGTAGTAAGAGCACACAGGGAGCACACACAATATATACACTATATACAAATAAGGAGTAGCTATGTTTCTTAACTAACATAACTAGCTGTAGATGCTGAAAATGCTTCAATACCAGTCAAAAAAAAATATATGTAGTAGTGCAGTTATATACTGTACAGTTAAATAGTGCAGGATACAAAGTCTATAAGTAAAGTGACATGCGGTAAAGTGACATTGTTCTGTGAATGAGGGTGTCAGTTACATGTCAGCATGTGAAGACAACATTTTGGCTTATGGTTGCTTTATGGTTGGTGCTATTTGAGTGGTGAAAAAAATGATTATCCACACCTTTTGCAAGTGCACTTATGGACAAGCACCAGCAGATGGCACTGTCCCCCAGTGTTTAGTGCTCATGTGGCGCAATGGAATTAACTGCAACTAATTGTATAGTCACTATCAGTATGATATTATTTGGTCATGTTGAGTAAACGTGATCTACTGTGTTATGCTATCAAACTTAAAAGTCTAGTTGTAGCTGTCAAAATGTATTTTCTCCTCAGTTTTTGATATTTGCATAAGTAGACTTGGCTTAGTGCTCACCTTATGCAAAGAAACTTCAGCACGAATCGCTTTCACTGCATGTAATCGTATTCCGGGGATAATCTTGTTCTTTTTTGTTGCTTTTTTTGTTTTTGTTTTTTACAAATACTTTTTAAATTAGGCTTTTTGCAATGCAAGTTTGCCTCACCCTTAAAAACTGGAAACACATCCAGTATTTTGAAGATACATTATAGTATCTTTGTAAAAATGTCTAACTCTGCACAAATAAAGTAATTAGTGTTAGTGTTGGGTCAATAATAAATGCTATCATCAACACCCTTAGACTGCAGCAGCAATTGTGAATGTTGCATAACTGTCAGGTAGGTTATTATAATGATGTGCACGTTGCATTTTTTCTCCTGCTCGACCAAATCCAATCACACCCTCCCCCATCTCAAGTACAATTACGTGATGGGTGACGTTTGAGCATGCGGAGGAGGGCGCTGGGCAGGGACCACTTGGACCGTAGAAGACTTGATTTCAGCGCAGAGACAACGGCAGTGGCGGCAGAGGACCAGGGAAGCCGTGCAGCTCAATCCTCGTCCCATTGTCTCTCCCTCAAGCAGCAACAGCAGCAGGGAAAGCAAGGCTGCGGAAGGAGGAGCCCAGGCTGAGGCGGGTTTGTAAGCCACACAAGAGACACCGGCCCTGGACAGATCATCTGGCCAATAACGGAAAATGAATCACAGTCAAGTTGTGATACTATGAGCAAGAGCTGCGTGTTATTTCTACGTGCGTCCTGCTACCGATCGCGTCCTACTCTGGCACATCGCGCGGACTTCTTTTGTTCGCTCCGCGTCAAACCCAAATACTCGATCTAAACTCTCCTTCAATAGAAAGCATCAAGATGAATTTCCAGGCGGGGGTCCCAGTGTCCGGTATCTCGCAGCAGTCTCAGCCGACCATGCCCTCTTCAGGCCCGGGGCAAACGCCTGTCCCAGTGCCGGTTCCACAGTCTATCCCGTCCCAGTTTGGGTCTGGCTCATCTGGGGGCTCCGGAGGGGGTCAGTTCGGCTCGGGGACTGTATCTGGACAAGGATCTGGCCAGTCTGGTTCGGCTGGCTCGCAGTTTGTTTTGTCCAACTCAGCGGCCATCAGAGCTGAGATCCATAGGTTCGAGTCGGTCCACCCCAACATTTACGCCATCTACGACCTGATCGAGCGCATTGATGACCTGGCCCTGCAGAATCAGATCCGGGAGCATGTCATCTCTATTGAAGGTAAGAGCCATCACAGCACACAGGGGGTCGTGTGCCTCTCATTCATTCCTTGTAAAACTAGCATGGGGGGTGCCTTGTGTTTTGAAGGGGGTCCTATTACTTTCAGCTGTATAGACACACTGCAAACATTGTCGAGTCAACAGTCACACTTGGAGTTTTGGGGGCGTCTCCTACCCCCCAATTAGTTCCCACATGCACAGTGGAAACAGTTGAGTGTCCCACTGTAAATGGCTTCACTAACACCAGCTCATATGGCACATGTGCTGTCTGCCTGACTGTCCAAGAATGGCTGATGACATGACTGATGCGACTTTATTCTTTTTGGGTGAATTGACTATATTCTCATACTGTCAGTGCTTTGCATTGCAGCAAAACACATGATTTCACATTTAGTTTTAGTTGATATTGTGCACCTCTGTCCTTCCAGTTTAGGATTTATGGTCTTAGTTCCACAGTTTACTGACACAGCAGTGAGGGGGCAAGTGTGTGAGTTGTGTTGCCACAGTTCGTTTGATGTATTCCTTAGATGGACACTAGGAGTTCAAGTGAAGCTCAGGCACCAACTCAAAGTGAACTCACATGCTCCCATTTAATTTAAAAAGGCAAACTATAAAAAAACATTGGCTCTGGCAGATGAGAGCTAATGATGTATCCAAGGTGAAAGATATAGCTTCTGCACACAAGAAATACACAGGTTTAAAAATACCTTTAATGCTCTGCTGTACGCCTGTTAGAGTCCACTGCATGAGGACTTGTGTGCATCACAGTAGAATTGTCCTACAGTGTATGTGCAGTCAGTGCTTGTGTTGACACGGGGGACAGTCAAAGTCTGCTGTCTGCTGGCCTAAACGCAGTATTATGTATTGTATTGGATTGTGCTGTACCCATGCTGGAGCTTGCGTTTTCAATAGAGTTGACAAACAAATGCATTAGAATGGAGGCATTGTGTTTGCTTGAAATCTTTTTTGAAAGGCCAATGACGTGTTGAGGTCCATCTTTGAACATATCGCACAATGCAAAATAATCCTAATAATATGTAAAAGTCCCTTTTAGTGTATGCATAAAAGGAAAGGCATACGTCTAACTATAATTCACAATAAGTTGAAACGTATGCATCTGTTTTTCTGTCACATTTATTAGGGAATCTACAACATCATATTTTTTATTAGCATCTTCTGTGTTATCATCAAAAAAGCCATTTGTTGTGTGAAAGTGTTTTTGACAAATATTCTTTGTGATAACAAAAAGCATTAATTCATCCCCACAATGCCTGATGCATGACTTTGACCAACCCAGACCATAGCTGTGCAGGATGTTGGGTGTGTAGCTCTCAGCCAATCAGAGCTCTCACAGAGCACAGAGTGGGAGCCAGTTTGAGCAGCAGTGGGAGCACAATAGTGGACCAGGTGCCAGGGAAATGTAGCCAATTTAAATGAAAAGAGGATGGGAAGTTACCTTAAGCATTGTTACGTAGTTACTTGGCTACATTTTCTAATAGTTGGTATTTCATTTTGATGAACTAGTCCACATACTATGAAATAATATGTATTTATGAATTGTTACACAATATGCAAATGTACTGTTGTTCAGTCACAAGACCATTTCAATCTATTGTCCTCAAACATGGCCGTTTTATATTTCTCCCAATTTACAACCCAAAAAATGCTTTACCTCAGCATTTAATTGTAAAAATCAAGCCTACTTTAAAAAAGTTGCAATCATTCCTTGAACATGTTAAAAATGTATTTCATCTGACGTGAAGAGAATTGTAAATCACACTGTCACGATCACCTCTCGTATGTGTTTTATCACAGTATGAAACTATGGATGTTGTCGGGATCATTTCGATTTGAGTTGAATAGAATCTGTTTTGATAAAAGAGCTTTTGATCCAGCAGACATGCCTTGTGTATAATTAAATACAATCCAACGTTATTGCAGACTATCAGATTGTGTATCATCTTTTAGTCCGTCTCACAAAGTGCTGATTGGTTTTGAAACTTAAAACACCATCTATATCTATTACTTCTCTGTTTGTTGGTTATACAACTGCTGGTGGGACAATTATCTTCTTCTTTTTTATGTTTGAACATTAATCTACATCTGCAATTAATTCAATTCAATCTTACAATTATTCATGGAGCAAAGATGAAAGTTCTAACCGAAAAACCCCACAAAGCACAAATGACTTATGGATAGATAATCTTTATCAATCACGCCACAATTTAGCTTGAAATTGCATAAGCGTACGTGTCAATGGGTGTGCAGCTGAACTCATCTAACCATATAGAAGCTCCCTTTTTCCCTTTGGGTTTTTGAGTTGTTCCTTGCAGATGCAGAAGGGTCTAAGGGCCGTGGTGACGATCCAGGACATTTAAAAACATGTATTGATATTTATTAACATTTATTAACCTTTATGGACATTGGTCATCCACCCTCTACAGACCAATGGCTCCTGTGTGTTTTTTAATATTACATTTTGTGTGTTTAAACTGTTTCATTCCCTGATCTGTGTTGGCAAATTGACAGCTTTGTGAAGTCCTCCGAGACAACTTGTTATGATTTAATACTATACACAAATCTTTAATTGAAATCATAGGTTAAAACATATGCTAGCATGATTGCATTGCTCCTACATTCACACGCATCTTGTCACAAGCCACACTGTATTGTTGAGTGTCACTTCTGTCCTGAAAGTACTACTTGTGGTGAGCATCATGTGATTTTGACACCATGTCTTCTATGTCACTGGTTGTGCTGCAGTCTATGGTTTTGGCAAAGTAAGTGATTGAAGAGGAACAATAGTGTAGCCTTCTAGAAATGAGGAACATGATTTGTATTTAATATTTTCAGTTGAAATAGTGCTTATAATAGAGACATTCATGTGCATACCAGCATGTTTTTTTTTCCGTTTCTCGTACTTTTTTAGATGGTTTTATTTTATATTTTTGTCTGGTGCACACTGGGCTACTTTTGCACATTTATCCCAATGGCAAATAAATTGGATCTGAATGTGAATCTGAACAATATTTGATTTTATTCTATTTAGGGAATCAGCATCTCGTTTTTAAGAGAGTCCCATGAACATAAAACAAATACAATGCGTATAATACAATACAATAGCTCCCTCAGATCCCACTCCACCCCTACACAAATACATCATTTCAAAAACATACATAAATTCTGTATACAATAGTCAGACTCAGCTAATTCAATAATCAAATAATAATTCTACTTTTCTTTTTCTCCAACTTGAGCTGCAACAGTTTTCTACTTTTTCCTCACATCCGAGCAGAATCTCAAATGGGGAAATCGAAATGCAGGGGATCGTTTCGGGAGCCAGCCGACATACAGCCCAAGCTTTGAACAGCGTTGTTTAAACACTCTGAAACAAGTCTATTTGCCTGTGTTGAAATGCACTAACAAGCCCTACTTTGATTGGCAACGGCAAACGAAACGGCCAGACTTCTCTTCACCTGTGCGTGGACTGCAGATTTGTTCCTCCTCAATCTTGCATCATTGCAGAGACTGTTGCTAAGGAACCGGTGGCTCATACATTTGGCTAGAAACTGCTGAAGAAAGAGTGAGCGCAAATTACTGCCTTTACAAGATGAATTCCTATTACTCGGGTCTCCCAGATGTATTCTTGATTAGTGGGACCCTGTGTTCACAAGTCTTGATCCGGAGGCTGTGGCCTAAAAGTGTTTCCATGGCCGCAGTGAAGTCTGTAGTTGTTATGAGCTTTGTGTCATTGGCAGCTAGTGTCCCTCTGCTTACAACACTGCTCTGCTATATCCAAGGAATTCGGGGCATGTGTCCTCATCAGGCCTTTAGCGCATAGAAAGATAGAATACATTAGCTGCATTGATGACTCGTCTTCGTGCAATTGCTTTGACACACTTGCTCTATTGTAATATTTCCATACCAAAGGAAGTTTTCTCTAATATCACAGATTATTCCAGGAAACATGAATAATTGTTGTTAACGCTGCATTCAGGAAGCTCATTTCGGAATATTTCCATCAACAAAATTTCAGTGAGCATGCATAGGAAAAAATATGATGCAGCTTATCAACTTTTAAGTGATACGCAGTATCAATGTCAAGTTAAGTTTATTTCAATAGCACATTTACATGAACAAACACTGCCCAAAGTGCTGCACAGTATAATACATCAAATACAAAAAAGGCTATTGTAAAAACAGATCAACAGATAATACAACAGTGCAACGCCGCTTAGTTGCCAAAGGCCGGAGTAAAAAGATTTTAAAACATATAAAGAAGCTGCACTTCGAATAGACAAGGGGAGGCTGTTCCAGAGTTTTAGAGCAGCTACAGAGAAGGCCCTGAATTACACAATAGTAATTTAGTGAAAAATGTAAAACTGTAGCAAGGATGAGTAACACATCTATCTAGAATATGCAGATTTATGATCAGAATTTACAGAATAGAAGCATTCTGCACAGGTTCAAGTTCAACCATATATACTATGTGCTCCACACAACAGACTCAGTGAAAACATTACCCAAACTAATCTTTGAGCAGCCGACACACACTTGCACGCTCACCTGTGTGATGCAGCCCTCACGTCCTCACGGCTCAAACATAAATAGTGTCCTCAAGTCCAGAGCTAGGTCCCATAGTTCACGTTGGAGTAGTTTTGTGGATGACAGCCGACATTACCACCGCGCACAATGTCAGTAGCCTGGCACTTGGGAAAACGTCAGATTTTGATATTCCCCGCTCCAAAAGCCATGTTTGTGTGAAACTGGTGCTGTTCATGGGCTACATCCAAATCTCTGTGATACGCACTACCTCATATTGTTCTTTAAAAATTATCTTTTTATGAGACATTGTTTGTCCAGGTCAAGTGAAATGAAATACCCTTTTTAGGAAAGTAGCCTGGCCTTAGCCATCTGTAAACTCTGGATTATCAAATGAGTACGACGATGTGGTAAGACCAGGCTAGGAAAGTATTGATGCTAAAGGATTCTTGATGTATTTAAAAGAAAAAAAACAAAGGACAAGGAAGAATTTGTAGTGTCTTCGTGGATTTTGGATGCAGCCATGACCTTTACAGAAATCACGAGTGAACTCCGCTACAATGAGACAGAAAATTGTTGTATGTCTGTGGTCCGTGTCAAGACTTAAAATCTCACAAGACAAAAGCTCCCGTAGTCTGCACCCAGCATTACCCAACAAAAACTGAACATTTCTAGCCTTTTTGTCTACTATTTAGACAAACTAGACATCTTTCCTATCAAACTGCCAGCAAATACTTCATATTGATTCAAAGTTATGATTGATTTAGGATTGATTTCACTGATCAATAACTAAGTACTAACTCCACTATTACCATAAAATATCAAGCAATAGACAGCTATTAGGTTTAATTTAATTTAATTCTTTAGAAATAATTGGTATTGAAGTTATTTGAAATTGCAGAGTGACGGTGCATAAAGTCAAGGTGAAAATGAAATTCTCTGTCTCCCTTACTGCCAGTCAAACGGTCGCTTCTGCCACTACAGCTGCAGCCTCCCGCCAGTGGCCATCTTGGAGCATCATTGTCAAGTAGCACTGATGATGCAGCAGAAAGCCAAAGTTTGTTGCAGACAACATTTAGCAGTGAGCCCAGAGAAGAGCACTCTTGAGTAATCCTGGTGACAGCTTACTCTCTCCCAACTATGAGTCATAAACACCAGGGGAATGCAGAACAAGTTTGTCATCCGCTTTAGCTTTCTCACTTATCTGAATAACATTATCTTTTGAAATGTTTAAATCTGCTGATGAGAAGCAGAGATGGGGCGGCAGTGGCTCTTCTTGCAAATTGTCATTGTGTCCTCATGATCTCCCGCTTTCTGTCGCACCGATTGCTGATAAACCCTTTCCACAAAACCGCTCGGCAAGTTCCAGTTGTCAAAGTAAAGCGGATTCATGCATCAATTTCTATTCCTTGAGCTTTCGGACCAAACGCCAAAATAAATCTGCATTTTAAAGGAAAACGCAAACCATAGTGAGTTGGAAAATTACGGCACAATCTCAACTTTTATGCGCACGCAGAAATGCATACAAGTTTTTAAGATACATTTTAGAGACGAAAAACTACCTACTTTTAAAAACACAGGTATTTTCCAGTTTTACATATTGGATGCAAAGATTTTCGGACATCTTTGATTGTCCAGCTGAAATGCTTACATGCATGTATTTATAACATTACAAATGATAGCAATAAATAAGCAATATTTAACCGCATTCACCATGTATCAATATACAAACTACATTTATTTATAAATAAATATTTTTTTGAGCCTTGCATTGTCAAACTTAAGACTATAAATCATGATTTATTTATTTTTAAATTTCAAAATTATAAAGGCTCAAAACTTCATCACATTGTAATTAAATGTATACATTTTAATGAAATTTAAGATGTTATTTGTTATATTTGCTCCATTTGAATTAAAAGTAATCTCTTCCCGTTGGCAAATACATATAATATACATGGACTAGGATGGCATCAGAAATGTTAGCTGTAATGTCCTAATACATAACATCGGTGTAGTGTAGTATGTAGATACAGCGTATGGAGATTCAGCAGTGTGAATTCAACAGTCATATTTTTAGCTTTTCATTATCGTGAAGATTGTTCCATTAAGCACATGCTCAGGGAATAACTTGTACTCTCATTTTTTTTTCCTTCAGTGGGAGCTATGATTGCGAGCCTCCATTAATTGCCGCCACTAATGCACATTGGACCTTTCAGCTGACAAGTTTGTGAATCTGTGTAAACCCCTGTTGCGATGCAAAATGCTAACCTCTCTCTTTAGACAGAATAGTGCTGATTAAATGATTTTGTTTATTGATCGTGTGAAGTGAACTCTTAACAGAAATCACTGCACAACATGCCAATTGAAAATGAGTCTGCAGAAGCCTGAGACACAGCAGCTCTTGGTGTAATATATAATTATAGGCTCACAATATCATGTTGGTGTTACAGCATCAACGCTGCAAATTTGTATCAACAGTCATTTAATTACTGTCAGAAAAAAATGTTATCTTTATTTTTTAAAGCAAATGAAAGCATGCATACAGTACATACATACAGACAGTACAGACAGACAACATACAGACACAGTACATACATACAGACAGACAGACAGTTCATACAGACAGACATACAGACAGTACATACAGACAGACAGACAGTACATACATACAGACAGTACATACAGACAGTACAGACAGACAGACAGACAGTACATACATACAGACAGTACATACAGA